CCCCGGTCCTTGGGGTCGCACAACCCTCCAGACCACTCTCCTCTCCTTGGAGGACTCCGTGCTCCAGCACCTCTTCGGAGTGGGGGAGGAGGAGCTCCTGAGCCTCGGCGCCTCGCACGCCGCGCGCTCGGAGCTCCGCGCGGCGCCGCGCGGCTCCGGTCGGCGTCGGCTCCGGGGAGAAGGCCCGGTACCGGTTTGGGGTGTCTAGTAAGGTTAAGCCCCTTGGAGGTGAAGAATGGTTAAGAGGTCTCCAGTAACCACCCCTTGTGCTTGTGGCGTCCTGGTATAGACCTTTGAACATGATGCTTGCACGGATGTCGCCTGTCGCATACATCGCCTGCCGCGGATCCCTGCAGTCTTATGTGTTGACCGCTGGTCACCTTAGGGGGGTCCAGGTCGACGACCAAAGCATCAACGAAACCCTCCAAGAGAGGCTGAGAGACCTGACTGGGACCTGGGACCCTGTAGTAATAACTACACTGGGACCCTATGGGATAGGCTATAAAGCTGTTCAACCTCTCAATTGGCTGGTTCCTTCTTGAGTGGGCTTCACACGTCGAGGAGAACGGTTGATGTGGGATTCGTCAAGGCCAGTTCCTTTTGCTCAGTTCCTTTTGACACACGAAGTATGTGCAGTGCTGTATGTATGATCATCATGAAACTGGAATTCACCACCCGTTTGTAGGGGAACATGATCATCCAATGGGCCATTTCCTCCGCTTCCATGCTTGTTTCAGGGACGTGTAGCCCAGGTCTGCAAGCATTTGAGCGCGGCAATGGCCAAGTTTGCGGAGCAGGCGAGGCGCGCGCCCCTTCCTGGTGGTCTAGACTGTGCTGCTGAGAAGCTGGCGAGCCGTTGTGCCAGTAGGATTCACACTGTGAAAACACTCCCCGACGAACACATCGCATGGAGATGGATGGCCAAAAAAACATCGATCGGTCTGGGACCATTGAGGAAGTCCGAGCGGTTCTTTGTCTCAGGTCAAGGACCGGTGAACTCCCAATTGTCCGAGCACCCGGTGAGCCCGAAGAAAGAAGCCAGGGGGCATTCAGCAGGAAGTGCATGGCGTTTCCTGGCAGGAGTGTGAGATGAGGTTTCCATGCAGGAAGACTTCTTTTCTACTACAGCCCCCCAGCTGAAAACTCGGGGAAAAAACACGATTTTCCATGTCAGAATCAATGGAACACGCCAAATTAGGCTGCCTAGGCATGTGAATTTTTAAAACCGCAGCATTTGCCCCATGTGAAACATGGCCGGCATTTCGGCGTTTTTGGCTTTCTGCCTCGTTTGTTGCGCAACTCCGAAACCGGAACCCTTCGCCGAAACCCGGCCACGTCGGGTGGTTTCTCAGACGAGGGCGGCGCCGACGCCACTCGAATTGCGTCGGGTGGGCGAGTGGCAGGTCTTCGCTGCAGGCTACCAGCAGCTGGTCTCTTGCCAAGGAGCTGTGGGGTCAGTCATCAGTCTCCAGCCCCATGCCTCAACTGATCAACATCAAGACCACCATGGTCTGGCATGCAGGCATTCAACGTGTTTTTAACCCGGAACATGAAGCGTCGCCTCACGTGTGTCAACCACAGGAGGCTCATGCAGCCAGATTCCATTGGTGGAAGAGGAGCTCACCAGAGCAGTCCGGGTGCCCGATGCGGCCTGGAAGCAGCGAAACGCCCGAAGAAGCAATCAATGCTTGGGCTCCAAAAACACTCGGATGGCCTGGTCTCTTGGACCATTTTCAATCCTCTACGAACAGGTGGTGAACTCACTCACTCACTGCACGTTTCCGACCGGTCCAATGGTCAATCCTTCTTCCGGAACCCTCCGAGTTCAAGCATTCAATCCCTAAGCATTGTACCCAACCACGGTATAGGAGGGTTTGGACCCTGCATAGATAGCAGGGGTTTGGACCCGAAGCAAAGCTTCAGCGGCGGTTTGGGTCCTCCAGGGGTCCTTGAGACTCCTCGGGTAGAAGACTTTGGGCCCAACAGTGCCACCTGTGAGTGCTCCACGCCCTTCGTGCAGGGCGACCAGCTGCAACGCACCTGGCAAATCTTCCTGCAGCGGGCCTCCAACGATGCCAAGGACGGGCGGTGACACCGAGGTGACAACGCGCTGATCAGGCCGACCGGGTGACCGGTCTGAGGCCAGACATGACCATCATGACCTTTGTTTTGATAGGAAGTCTGACCATTGACCTTGGGTGGTGGGGGGTTCAAAATAGAGGTCACACAAAGGCGAACTCAGTGTTAGGTACAAAGTCATCGTCCTCAACGGGAGCACGGGAGGCTTCGTTGACTGGACAATGATTCTCAGAGGCTATAGTATTCAATCAATCACTAAAGAACACTGTCGACCACCACATAGATCTCCAGAAGTCCCCTGCCAACGCATCTCCATCTCCCTGCCCGCACCACTCTGATTCGACCCATGCACCGAGTCCAACGTCAAAAGCATCGCCCGCCCTGAGCGCGTCGAGCGGAGAGGCTAGGCGGGGCCTCGTTCGCCTCGCTCGTTCGCAGGTGGAGCTCTACGGCCTGGGCAGCGTGGAAGACGTGCTGCTGGACCAGCGGCGCAAGGCTCTGGAGCTCTTGGAGCAAAGCCTTCGAGAGATCCACCACGCCAGGCGGGTGGTCCCGCACCGCGCACGGCTGAAGGACGTTGATCCGGAAGGGTTCCTTCCGTTGATCGTGGCGGGTTGGCCGGAGGGGTCAAGGGAAGATGTGCCAAGGATGGAGGTGGTTGGGGGACGGAGGGTATCTGAGGAGTGTTTGCAGGTAGAGTACTGTTGATGAAAGTTTTTAGAGCTCTAAGGCACGGATCATGTTGGTCATTAGTCCTTCAAGTCAGTCTTTTGAAAGTGTAGTTACCTGGACCTTCTTTCGGGGTGTCCAATGGAGACCCTAAGTAGTGGGATGGGGCTTCCAGCCAGGTGACCCCTAAGTAGTAAGGTGCTGTGCTGGCAAAATTCTCGTTTTCGTCTTCACACAACTCCCGCCCCCTCCTTTTCTGTTCAACAGGAAAAGTCAGCTCATGGAGAAGAAACCGCAAGGGACCCTTGGCCCCAGTTCCTGTGGTTCAAAAATTGAGGTTCGAGCTTTGAAGCAGAGGAGACACTCAGAGAATCTCAAGATATCTCAAGCTAGCTTCATTTCAGTACCAGAACTGGACATAGCCATACATGGCCCCCAAGTTCGGATGATCCTGTGAAAAAACCTCATAGCAAACAGGAGGTGAACTGTATTGTACACCAAATGTGTGTGTGTGTGTGTGCGTTTTTGTTTCTTTTTCGGACTGTACAGAACTTGGAACAGCCGAGCCTTTTTTTGGAAGTCTCAGAAGCCGCTCAGTCTCTGCATCGCCAGGCAGAGTCTTGTGACGCCCTCAGCGCTGGCGATGCAGTCGTTTTGGTCACCAACATGAACCCAGAACCCAGACATGACCCGACATGACCCGGTCAATCAGGTTCTGGGTACTCATGACATGTGATGTACAAGTAGGAGGATGACATGAGAAAAGGCTCTGAGCAAGGTGTAAATCATGCAGGAAAGCTGGATCATGTATATGAGCTAGGCTCAAAATTAGTGAAAGTGAGAGTGGTTATGGGATTTCAAAAATTAATGTTTCGCTCAAAAATGATAACACACTCACCAAAAACAATAACATCGACGGACATGAACAACGATAATAGCACGCTAACCAAATCCTGAGGACCTGCAACTCCGCAAATTTTGACCGCCACTCATGTAGGACTGTTGATGAAAAACGCAACCCAAGCCTGGAGATGGTAATTCCATACTGGAGACAGATAAGGCTTTATCAATCAATGAGTGGTAGGTCTGTTATGTTGGAAAAGCAGAATCAAGCCATTCGAGGTTCAGGATGGCTGCGTCTTTGACATGACCACACGACTTGCTTGGAGCTCAGATGTGGAAGGCTGCTGAGTGAACCCCCGAAGAATCTTCAAACAATGCCAGAAATGCTGCACGAGTACGTACTGGCAGAAGAAAGACACTGGCACCACACTAGGTACTATGGATTAGTATGGGAAGACTGTGGTAGGTGTTTCAGACGGTTCCCGGTGTCTTTCTTTCTTTCATCAACTGTCACGCTTCCCAAAGTGATGCGATGCTGAATTCTGGAGGCCAGGGCACTGCGCGACCAGGAGCAGCTGATGAGGTGGCATTTGAGCCGCTTGGCGCGCAGCTGTTGGGCCATTGAGAGTCTGGAAGTGCAGGGAGTGGGGAGAATTCACCCACCCAGGAGAAGTGGATCACCTGCAGGGAAAACGACCTACCTTGTTCGGGGGCAGAAGTGAGGAACCTGGTGACCTCAGATCTACTTCGGTGGAAGTTTCGATTTTAACCTTTTTGTATTTAGAACACCCTACAAGTCCAGTCCGACCCAGTAAATCCTGGTCTTTTACCTCCTTAAGTATTGGTTTTGTATGACCACGGCCCAGTAAAGTGAGGTCCAACTGCCTTGTAGGGTATCATATCCAAACCTTCTCCGGTCTTCTCCGAAAAAATTCAATGTAACTTTGGGACCTGCTTCGAGGGGACTGAGAATGTTGCTTTTCATGGGTTCTGGAGTCGGAAAGAGACAGTTCAAGGAAGAGAACGCTCAAGGGATCTCAAGGGCTCGGTTTTAACTTTGTTGTATTTAGAACATACAAGGGCTCGGGAGTCAGGAAGAGAAAGTTCAAGGGCCAGTCAGGTTCGAGATACCTGGAGGCACCAGGAGAGAGAAACGCTCGAGCGAGCGATAGAGCGAGCGATAGGGTGTGGGGTGCTACGAACCGAGGAAGGAAGGAAGTCGGTTGTTGCCCTTGCACATCGCATCCACGGCCCCTGGATGGGGCGAGCTACACCATCCCAACTCCAACTCGTGACTCCTGAGCCGTTGCTTTTTGGCTGTTTTGATGACTGTACCGCAGCCAAGTGGGACCACCACGGCCGACCTTGGGGGCCGACGTGTCGCTGTCAGTTGCGGTTTTCTGCAGAACATGTTCAATGGAGTGAAGCGGGTGTGTTGGTTTCCGCACAACAGTCTTCGAAACAGAGAGATAGACTGAACCACGCGGAGCAGGACTGAACCATGGATTCCACGATTTGCAGCACAAAACCGCTCAGCCTCAGCCAACCATCCCATGCGTATATCGTAGATGACCTTGTTTGCATTCACGTACCGCACCAAAGAACGAACTTCGCATGTTTCGCTGCCGAAGAACTCCACGGGTTTGGCCGTGGTGAGAAACGTGTCGTTTGGCCGCGCGGCACGAGGTCATGCTTTGCTGGCGCTTTTCTGGTGGCAGTTGCGGCAGCAACGTGAACAGGGACACTTCGAGGCGAGTGAAACGGAGGTGAACGGTGCCGTTTCGACCACTGCCGAAGACCGCGCGTTGCCAGGCACCTCCGGAGCTTCGCTTCGAGTTGCCGGGGCTGCGCTTTGAGGACATCTGCTGTGGGGGCCCAGTGATGAGTGCAGTGATGAGCACAGACCAAGGATGATGGGACTAATTAGGACTGTCGTATTATGCAGTCCCTGTGATGAGAATACCTTTTATTCTGGCTACTAGGTTGGATGCCATCGCTCTTGGGTTGGAGGCCAATACCTCTAATTCTTTTCGCAAGTTTGGGAAGCGATCAGTTTTTTCGATGTTTATTTTCTCAGTAGGTTGTACAGGTAAACGCCCCTCCCCCGTTGCACTTCAAACGAGGATCTTATTGTTTTCTTCACGCGAGCACGTCAGGAAGAGGTTTAGTTTGCTTCGAAACATAACCGCCACGTTCTCGTGATCTTCGCTTCCTCCAGCCCTCCGCGCGTCGCTCGAAACGCTCCCAGGTCGACGTTGGGATGTAGTGCTTGCAGCACTGGAGCGCACAGGAGGACATCTTTTTTGGGGGGATCAGGTCAACTCTCTGACAGTCGATTTCACATCGGGTAATGCCGAAGCGAACACGTCGCGGCTGGCGAGAGGTTACTGTCAGACTGACACTTCGGAACATGCGGCATACAGATCCTTCACCATCAAAACCTCTTATAAATACTATAAAAGAATCTAAAACCTTATTCCCTTACGCGCTCCCCCTTGCTTCAACCGGGGTCGGCGGATTATGACTCTAAAAGATATATGTCTTCACCATCGAATCCTGTCGCCTCTCGCGCTCTTTTCCCCGCTTTCCCATGCCGCGCTTCCACACCCGGTGAGGCTCGGTGGCGGCCTGGGGCGGCGCTCCAGATCTCCAGGTGCTGCGAGTTACAGTTCGAAGAGGGCAGACGAAAGAGGATGATGGTAGAGACTCTGATGGTAGATGTTTGGGGTTTTGATATGTTTTGATATGTTTTGATATGTTTTGATGCACCTCTGTAATTAACATGTTTCAGCGAAAGAGATGCCACTGGTGGCCTCCACCAGTACGTCCTCAGCTTTCATGGAACCATCTGGTCTCCAGCTTTTTGCGAGTCTTGGCTCGAAACCAGGAGTGGCTGCCAGGCGGGGGATGTCAGAAATGTGCAGCAGAGCGAAGACGGAGCGACGGAGCGAAGCAGAGCCAGTGGTGAAAGCACAGACCAGGTCGACACTTGAAGGCAGTTCTGAATCTTTCTGAATGATCTTGCCCTAGGGATCCAGTCGTACCTTCTCAGGTACGGTGAGGACGGAGACTATTTATGTAGGCGCCAGGAGGGCCCAGTCGTACCTCCTGAGAAGGTGGCAGTGGATCCCTAGGGTTGCTTTGGCGCCCAAAAAGCCGTCCGATCATCCTGTCATGTCCTATACGGTATCAACCCCCTCGAATCTCCTCGACTCGACTGCGCATTCTCGTACACCCTATGAAAGACACCCACATGGACCCCCAACCACTGGTTGGTAGAAGAAAACCATCTTCATCAATCTTCCATGGAGCCGTTGTCAGGGTCCATGCTACACTCCCCAAAACTAATGGACCCGGGTCGAATGGCTCAGTCAGACTGTTTTCCTCTACAAAGCAGTGGTTGGATAAGGGTCCATGGGATCCTTTCCGGGAGGGTAAGGCCTTCTCTCACTCTGCGGCTGTCTCTTCTCTTCTTCACTTCGACCTACCTGCAGAACAAGCGACCCGCGCTCGACCTACTCGCGCGACAAGCGGATCGCTCGACGTCGGAGCGAGGCCTGGAGCAGTTGGAGCACCTTCCTGGAGCTGGGTCGGTGGGGCGGAAGATGGATGCAGGGTCTTGGAGGGTCGAAGTAGAAGGTCTGGAGCTTCTTTCAGGTTAAACGCATGGGCTAACACATGGGCTAACATGGATCAAAAGGTTTTGTGTTGCTCAGCTACCTTTCGTTGCGACTTTGCCGCAAGTGGTCCTTAATGTTGGTGAAATGTGAATGTTGGTCTGAGAATCAGATTAGCAGATTAGCAGCGTATTTGATTGGGTGAATTGAACGTGGCTGGTCCAGTACGTGCAGAACCTCATGGCTCCACTGTGCCAACTGCTCACTGTGCCAACTGCTCCTTCGGCGGGGGCGCGACCTCCGACTGTGCGAAGGTGCAGCACGACGTGGTGCTGTTGGGATGTGGAGGAGCTTCGCCCAGGGGGGCGCCCAGTGGCTCGGCTATAGGCAGAGACTGGGACTTTCCTTTCTACCTTCCAAAGCAAGGAACAGAGAGTCTCGTCTCATCCAGTTTCGCCACCTTTGCCAGCAGACTTCAAGAAGTCACTGGTCATGAACATGGAAAATGAACCTGAAGATCAATGTGGGGCCATCGTCCATGTCTACAAAAGTGACCAAGACCGTTATAACCTCTATTTCCAAGATCTTCCCCCCAAAAAAAACAGCTGTGCATTTCGCTTCAAGGTGGTGTGGCCGGGCACTAACAACACACACCGTTGGAGGTGTCTGAGTCGAGTCGAGCGTCGAGCGGAATTCGGTCTCTGGCAGGACCCGAGCTTGAACCGCTGGAGGAGTTCTTGCTGCTTCGTCCAGCTCCTCAAATGGGTTCGAAGTGCACCATGCGGAGCCATGCGGTCAGAAAAGCTATGTAGACATGGGGATTTTGGTGAAGGGGGATGATGATGATTCCAGACATAGGGAGGATTCTGTATTTGAAGAAGAGATCCACCACCATGATTTGAGGTTTCACTTGACAAACATGTCATCGTCATTGTTTCATGCAGCATCGGGAGATTGACACATCAGACACCTCCCAAACAGTGACATTCTCCCCTAACATGTGGAAAAGAATCGGCTTGGAATCTTGAAATTGGATGCACCAGTTGTTTTTCGTTTTATTTATTTATTTCTTACTATTATTGTTTATTACTACTATTTCTATTCTATTTTCTAAATCATTGTTCAAACATATATGTTTTTATGTACCAATACCCTCCAACAGGTCACCACCCGCTCTCCTTTTCGAAGTCTACAAGAGCCAACCTGTCGGAGACCTGGGCAGGTCTCGGGTGCTGGTCTTCTTCTGTTATCTTGTACCTTTTAAACAGAACAATATCAGAACAGAACAATGGTCTGGACCCTCCAAGCCTCCAAGCCTCACACCCATTGTTGGAGTCTGGTCTTGTTCTATTGTACTTTGGAAAACCTTGTTGACCTTGTTGACCTTCTAGGGGGGGGGCCCGTTGATTAATCCGACGATGACATTACTTTGGAAAAGGGGTGTCCCAACCCCTGGTCCTTCTGAACTCCCAAGATCCGGGCCTCCGGGCGGAACACGAGGCGAGCAGCTCCAACGGCTGGAGAGCAGCAAGGCGGAGACGTGGGACGACACGATGCGAAGGACTTGGCTTTTTGGACTTCAAAGAGTTATTTTATAAGGAAGTTGAACTTAATAAGATTCATAGATTGTGATAGATTCATAAGAATGATCGAATTGATTTCTTTTCATCTTGAAAAAAGAGAATGATAGGCTCAGATGGGCACTCAAACCGACCTTCGAAGATACTGATAATACTGATTGTTTTCCGTGTCGCCTTTGCGCAGATCGATCTGCCACATTCGATCCTTCTTCGAAGATGGTTCTGTGGCAGACAGCGTGAGACGTTTGACGACCGTTGGAGTCGGCGTGCGATCCGGTCGTTGAAGAACACCTATCCCTTTAGATGAGTCCACTGATGGGGGGTGCGACCTGCGAACACCTATCCCACGGTGACATCCCATGTGACCAGGCCGGACGTTGCATGGCGCACTGCCCGAACACAGACGACCGTGCCAGGCACAGGTGATGGGCTGCCACTTCCTGGCGAAGCATATTGGCCTCGTCGAAGCGGTCGACTTGGCGGAAAAAACGAGGGATTTGGAGACCTGGATGGACTTTGGCTCTTCTTGGGTCGAGAAGTGATCGGATCGTTCGGTTGGATATGATATCACTTGGATCTCCTTTTTCTGATCGTATTTGGAGAGGGGAACACAACGGGATACTGGGGCGAATCTTGAATGTTTGCATTCTGATGGAAGACTTCTTGAAGTCTTTGAGCCACAACACGTGGGACCTGTTGCGCATGTTGCGTCGGATCTTGGCGACGCGTTGTCGGGCGAGCTGGCTGGGTGAGGAGTTCAGTGGCCATGAGAGCCTTGTATATTCCCGGCTAAGGGTTATATATATATATATACACCTGCCGCAATCATCCATTTTCGATCATTTTCGATCAACGGGTCTATCCGACTCTATCCATTTGGGAAATCTGCTCTACAGCCAGCCTGGAAAACATTGGAAAAGACACAATCACTGTCAACAGTCCAATACCATGTGTTCCTTTTTCTGCCATTTCCTCTAGTTGCCAGCAGCAATGGAGATCACAACACTCTCAGGTGCCACTCTCACAAAGCTTCATGAGGAGGAATTGGCCTACATGGTGGAGAATGGACATTCTGTTCGGGATCTGAAGAAGCTCCTGGCGGATCGAGTTGGGTTCTCAAGATTTCGACAAAGACTCTTGAGTGGAGAGTTGGGTGAGCTACAGGATGATATGCCTGTCAGACAAGTACCAAGCTTGCAGTTGATAGTCCTGAACTTTTGTCCGCCTGAGAAGGCTGTTTGGAAGGCACTGCTCCATGCGTGTAAGAAAAATAAAGCTGCTCAAGTCACAAAGTTGCTTGAGAAACCGTTCGATCCCAATGGAAGAGGTGCAAAAGCTAACCCCCTAATTGTGGCAGCACAACGCGGCCATTTCGAAGTGGCGCGGTTGTTGCTCGAGGCTGGAGCTGACAAGAATGCGGCGATGGCAGATGGGGCAACAGCCTTGATGCTTGCAGCTTTAGATGGCCACTTGGAAGTGGTGCGGTTGTTGCTCGAGGCTGGAGCTGA